AATTAAAAAATTAAAAGAGAGAGAAAATTAAAAAAAATAATGAGATACCACTTCACAGCCACTTGGATGGCTAGAATAAAAGACATATAAGTATTATTGAGGGCGTGGAGAAACTAGAACCCTTATACATTGCTGGTAGGAGTGTAACATGATGCAGCTGCTCTGGAAAACAGTCTGTGGTCCCTCAAAATATTAAACATAGAGTTATATGATCCAGCAGTTTCACTCCTAGGTACAAGGAAAATGAAAACCTGTGCCTATATGAAAACTTGTATACTAATATTCATAGCAGTATTATTCACAATAGCCAAAAATGGAAAATGGCAGAAGTGTCCATCAGTTGATGAATGGATAAAGTGGTATATGCATATAATAGATTAACACTCTGCAATTTGAAGGAATGATGTACCGCTCATACCACAGCATGGAGAAACCTTGAAAACATTATGCCTCGTGAAAGAAGTTAATCACACACACACAAACCCCACGTATTTACATGAAATAGCCAGAATAGGCAAGTTCATTGAGACATATTAGTAGTTGGTTGCCTTCGGCTGATGGTGGTGGTGGTGGGTAGGCACTGAGCTGGGGAGGGCTGGGGAGGGACTCCTAACGGATAACAGTTTCTTTGGGGGTAATGAAAATATTCTAAAATTGATCATGGGGATGGCTTCACAACTCTGTGAATATACCAAAAACCACTGACTGTACTCTTTAAACGGCTGAATTGTATGATATGTGAGTGAGTTAGATCTCAATGAAGTTATATATAAAAAGGATACAAAACCATGCCAGAGCCAATCTTGTGTGTTTTTTTTAAAGTTCTGTATTCTTTAAAAGTGTATGTGTACACACACACACATATACATACACATATACATATACATATACATATACATATACATATAGAAGACTGAAAGGAAATAGAGAAAAATGTTTTTAAATAATTATATCTGGGTAGTGGGATTGTGGTGTTTTCTGCAGTGGATGTGCACTGTTTTTACAATCAGGAAAATAGCTGACAGCCCTGGGGGAAGGTTCTTCGTTGTGCCCTCTCCTGGACCAAGCAGCCCTTTGTGAAACCCTTAAGAGGCACCAGATTTTGTGTGACCAAACCTTAGTATCAGAGACACTAAGCTTTCTCTGTAACAAAAAAACCCAGGCTGGTACTCCTGGCCACTTTGAAAGAGAAAAGGTTACACTGAAAATTAAGTAAATCTTTACTACTTTACTTTGGAGTTTAGTTTTTAATAAAATATATCCCAAGAGCTACTCAGTTATGATAGCCTTCTTTACCTTTGGACCATTGACCTCTCCAAACTGCTTCCTGGAAGTCATTTTCAGAAAGTTGCCCTTTGTAAATATACATATATGGTTGAAATGGTAAAATGGGTAATCTTGTCATGTTCCTTCCTGCAGCCAAACAGCAGTACCAGGAAATGTATGCACATTTATTCTTTAAGCTCTTTAATGTTTATGACAGTCACTGGAAGTGAGTTCTTTCTAGCAGCCTGTTGAGTCCAGATTTTGTTCATAAAGTTGCTTTAATGCATTCTCAACATTTTTGCTTCTCTTAGGTTTTTTTTTTTTTGTTCCCAGTAAGTCTGTGGAGAGAAGCCTGAATTAGAAGAAGGAACTGTTGAAAAGAAAAAACAACCTGCTTGTCAGTTATTTCAGAAATTTGGTTCCACATCATATGCCTTTAGCTTGGATATAAATTGTGAAATAGCCTTTGTTTCTTGCCTTTGTTGTTGTTGTTGTTTCTAAACCTGTTTCCTGTGAATAACTAGGATTATAAAGAAAGGTTAATAAAGGGTAGACCCTCCCACTTGAGAAGGGAAAGAGTAACCTATTCTCCCCTGCAGCCTACAAATGTAAGGAAGACATGCGGGCCCTGTGTGGGCAGCAGCTAGGGCCTGCCTGAATTTCCCAGGGGAGGAGAGCATTGTCCTTGGCTGAGTGTTTACTGAGACATTTACATAGGTAATCTGATGGGACTTAAAGACAATAACCTCGGAAAAGCTGGGCCAGAGCCCCTTGGCGGTGGGGTGCTGGTGTTCAGACAGAGAGAAAAGCGATTCCATGTAAACATGTACAATTTGTGGTGTGACTGAATGTTCACTGATCACGGACTTCTGCTTCTCCATCCAGGACCCAGTAGTAGACATGTCCTGGTTAATATCAAGACATTACAGCACTAGAAAAGTACAGACAGAATACTCTCCCGCCATTAAAAATGAGTAAGGTAGAGCAATGTCTTCTGAAATGGAGTGATCAACATATATTATTTTTTACACTGACACCAGAAAGGGACTGGGAGAAACTTGGGTCTGCCCCAGCATGGTCTGAAATGTGTGGGTTCTGGACTTTGTGTAGGAAAGATATGTCATGAGTCCTGGTGATTTTGGGAGTACACTTATTAGAGCTGGGAACAGTGAAATAAAGGAAAGGCTTAAGATCACAGTGGCAGAAGTGAACCATGCTGGGCAGTGTGGACTCAGGAAAGAAAGTCACTGAAGCAAAAGGAGATCCCCTGGAGACTGGTAGCTCGGGATGAGCTGCCACTGCCTACTGCTCCTCTGGTTGCAAGTCTTGTTGGGGACACTTAGAGCTTAGGAAAAGAAAGCAAAGATACACGCCTGAGGAGGCAGTGGTGGGGATAGGCATGCTTGAGAGAGAGTGTACAATGGATCTTTTGTCTTAAGGGTTTTTGTCTGTTTTCTAAAGGCAGGAGTTTTAGGGGATCTGTTGAGGAAAGTCTCAACAGAATATTTAGCAGCCTTCTAGGTGTGTTCTTTAATATGTCAATGCATCAAAATGAGCTTATAGGGGAGTCTGGGGTCATTCTCTGGCCACCTTCACTGCTTTACTTTTATCTTGGATTTGTCTGGCTCTAGTTGAGTTTTTGTTATTAATTCCAACTAACTTCATCTTCTCTGGGGCCTGGTTGGCACTAATGGCACCAACAGAGTCTCGGTGCTCTCTGTCCTTGATGAGGGTGATGTAAGCTACTTGCTACCTGGCTGTGGAAGAGAGGTGTAAATCATCTGCTCCTAAGTGTCCTTGCTTAAGGAAGATAAGATCTTGAATTTATTAGCATGCTGTTAATTGCTTAGTCTTGTTTAACTATTTGTCACAGTTTCCCTCGTTCCACTTGTCAAGGAATTTTCCTAGGTTCTTACTCTTCTGCCTTAAAACCAGAGTTTAATTTTTGTTAAACAAGACTCACCAACATTTACAAGGGAGGCCTTTCAAAACACCCAAATTTGAAGGACTCCCTCCTAGAACATAAAATACCTCCCTTACATGCAGTAATGGTAAACCTAAAATGCAAGTGAGCCCGCAGGTCCCCAAAGAGAAAGATGGTGCAAGCTCTGACAAGACTAGTGGGCAGGTGGGTGCTGGGCTGTCCACCAGGCCCTGCGCAAGCTCAGTGACCAGTTCACTGGGTCAGACCCTCGGAACGCCAGGCTTCGGGAAAATCACACAGGTACGTGCCGTAGACCTGTGGGATGCTCACAATTCATCACGTCCCCAAATGTCAAATCCATGAGCATCAAGCTCCCCCGCATACTGTCCCCCTGGCCTAGGCACACAGCTGTGACGTGGGCGCAGCCACAGCTGCCCACAAGAGGTGGTGCTGGCATGAGCGTACGGGTATGGGGCATGGAGGCGGCGAGGGTGTCTGGTGTGCGTGGCCTCCACAGGTGGTCCATGAGGGCAGCGCAAAGGTATTTGCGCATAAACCATAGAAGTGAAAGGGCGATCACTTCACAGGTGTCTGCGTGTCTAGTCTTCTTGGTCTTCGCTTTTCAAGGCCAATTGTTTCTATAAAGTCATAGTCTAATTAGGGACCTCAGCATTGGGAAATGTCTCACACCACGAGCATGTCACACCCCCTCCCTCCCTCCCACAGGACCCAGCAGGTGGAGGTTCAGGATGAGGAGGCTGTGAGTCAGGCTCTGCCCATAAGCAAGGGGCCTCGGGCAAGGCACTAAACGGTTCCCAGTCTGTTTTCTCACCCCCAAAATAGACGTAAAAGTTGTCTTCCTAGGGTATTGTGAGGCATAAAAAGGGGAACCTGAGAAAGGAGTCGTCCTGGCAGGGGGTCCGTGGCCAGCAGCAGTGACAACGATGACCAGCAGGCATCACCCCGCTAACGTAACCTCGCTGCCGTCACACTGTCACCGCTCATACCCTGCCGTGGGTGTCACTGGGCTTCTCCCTTCTTCACCTGTACAGGCTGGAGTCCACAGTGTAATTAGCCTTGGAAATTAGGGGCTAACCCACGTTTGCTCCTCTCTTACTTGCACACTGGCCATGGCAGATGCTTTAGATGGATTGTATCCGGTGGGGGTGAGGCCCAGGTGAGAAGGGCCACAGGAGTTTCACAGAATTCCTGAGAGTGGCTCCCTCTAATCCAGGGCTGGGGTGCCCAGCCCCCCTGTTCATTACATCAGTGAGAGGGATGCTAAACATCATGACCTCCACTTAAATTAGTATGTCCGGGTGGAGGGCCCAGGCACCAGTACTTTTAAGCGCTCCTGCCCCTTGCCCAAGAGAATCGTGAATCGTAGCATCAGGCTGACTGTGAGGGTCGTGGGCACTGGGGAGCTGTCAGGCCGCCTGGTGAGCACCAGCCTGACATTTCCTCATCCAGGGAGCTGCAGCGGTGGGAAGGTTAGGCAGATATTTGATCAGTACCAAGCTAATCTGAGGGGCAGGGCAATTCAGCTGAGCTAATTATATGAAATACTAGCTGATTCACAGGAAGACTGGTAGAAAAAGAAAATAGGTGAGGAGCTTTTATCTATGATGGTGGCTCTTCTTTCATTTTCTCTTCACTGACATAATGTGAGACGTAATTTATAGGGAAGAAACATGACTCACGTGGTTGCCCATCTCTATAGGGAAGGACCTCCAGTGACTTTATAAAAATAAGCACCTGTCTGGTTCTCCCGTTGCTTTCTAGCTAATTTTGGTCCCTTTTCTTTTACCAGTTGCCAGAGGCTCCACCCTCTGAAGAGGAAGAACAGGAAGCCTGGGTGAATGCCTTGCTTGGAAGAATGTTTTGGGACTTCTTAGGAGAGAAGTACTGGTCTGACCTGGTGTCTAAGAAAATCCAAATGAAACTCAGCAAAATAAAGGTATTGTTTTTTTACCCAAGAGGCTTCCAGTTCTTCACATTTCTTAATTTCTGGAAGTTTTGTACCATTATAGTCTCAGTGAAAAATAACTCAACTTGAAACATAGAACATATGAGAGTAGTAAGTTCTTGTCAAACAACATGACTGGGCTGTGACCTTGACCGTGTGACTAACTGCATCTGAGGACTTAGTGACTGTCCCTGTTTACCTGTTTCCTTGTGTTGCCCTCATTGTTACCCATTCTAAGTAATAATCCAGAATTTGGGTTGGAAAAAAATGTGAACTTTTGTAGCTCCCATTTGTCGTATAGACTTCTGTTAACTTTAAGTCAGTGTTGCCGGCGCTCAGCCAGCCTCACAGTCTCAGCCGCACAGTAAATGCTGAGGAAAGCGCCTGGTTACTTAAGACCTCTTTCCCAAGGCTCCCTCTCCACGCTGGGAAAGTTAGCACTGCACACTGAATATGTCTGGGTTTGACCTTTACTTCTGGCCAGATGGTATTTTATTTTGGGCTCTCCTTTTGCTGAAGAAATAGTTCTGCTGCTGATTTAGACCTACTTGGAAGTGAGTTTAAACTTGCATAAGTGTGTTCCTCATGGTCGCCGCTGAGTGACTCATTTAGTACCACCTTTGGCAACCAAGAGACCTTATGCAGGTTTCTTAGAAGTAAGTTTTGACCCAGCAAAGACACAGGCAAGGAAGAGTCACTTTGGCCTCAAATCTTCACTGAGAGGTAGCATAGTCAGCAGCTTAAGTCAGTGGGTCTTTTGGGGCCTTAGATACCTTTGAGAAGCAGAAATCCTTTCCCTAGACAAAAGCACAATGACACATAATTTTGCCCATGACTTCAGAGAGTTCAAGGACTCCGTATTAGAAGACTGCGCGCTAAGTAAAAGTGCAGTAGAAGTAAAACGTGGGCATGGAAGAGCTTTGATTTGATTTTTGGGTAACGAACCAGCTCGGTCTTCTTTCCAAGCACCCAATGAAGGGGAGAGGCTGCCTCCTAAGCTGGAAGAGAGGATTTTAAGGCAGAATTCAGGCCAGGGGTTTGGGAGACCTTTGCTGGCAAGGATCAGTCTGTTTGTGTTCCTCAGGTGGGTTGGGGGTTGAACCCACCCTGCTAGCCAGGTCCACGGGGCGGGGGGAGCAGGAAGTGCCAGCGGCCTTCCCATGTTTAGAGATGAGAGGCCCGCACTCAGCCTGGAGCTCTCTCAGCCTTCCTGGTCTTGGGGAAGTGGCGGAGGGCTTGAGTGCCTGGGTTGAGGCACACGACTGGGGTTGGCACTTCTGTTTCCCCAGAGACTGTCATGGGCCCTTCCCTGAGCAGGAGGGCTGCAAGTCCTGGCGGTGCGCGACAGAAAGCAGGGCAGGGCTGACCTCCAGCTGGGACGCAGCTCTCCCCGTGACACACATTCCAACACAAACGGAGAGGTCAGTGTTGTCCCACACTTCTCTCTGGAGTCAGGAGTCCACGAGGCCTCTGCCCCCTTGGTGGAAAATGGTGGGATCCCCATCCCAGAGGAAGTTGAAGGGAAAGTCTTTTATTTCCTTCTCCCTTTGCTCATCATGTGTGCTTTTGCAGTTCACAAACTGAAACTCCCTTTCGTGTTTTGAGGTCAGAAGTGCTGGCAGGTTAAGTGGAGAAAAGGCGCCTAGATCCAGCTGCGCCAGCCATTCAGGGGCAGGAGCAGTACTCGCTCTATTGCCAGCCTCAGTGCCTCCACCCCAGCCTCAGCTGCTACCTGTGAAGTGCCCCGCAGATCAGAGGGGACCCTGGCAGTGGAATAAACAGAAAGGCGCCAAATTCCGAACCTACTACCACCCTGTCAAAGGAACTCTTATTATTATCACTGATATTCAGATACCCCCGGAAGAGCTATTCATTAATTTAGAGAATGTGAGTTAATGGCCAGTCAAGAGCCAGAATGACTGGCGGAGCCTGAGCTGTCCCCCATGACAAAGATCTCCCTGTCTCCTGGTAGGCCTCGAAGGCCTGACATTCGGAGAACTCTTTGTTGGCCTTGCCCTGCAGTCTCAGATTGTCACCCTCACACATGATAATGACTCATTTTGAAAGAGCGGCCCAGTGTGTATATGCTGAGTTTCTGCCCCAACAGCAAGTATGTTCTTGGCCTTGGCCGGCTGCTCTAACACCAGCATGGGGCTCTCAATTGTTAGGGGCTCTGCGCCCCTGTCAGCAAACGCTGCTGTTACTGCATATAGCTGCTAATGTGCCGCCCACCAACCTGAGAATGAGCCATACACCCGAACGTACAGTGCCCGTTGGGTTTAGTCAGGAAGATAAGGAACATGCGGCGAGTTCCTCCCACACTGTGGGGCCTTTGTGTGGGCAGAGAGAGGTCCTGGTTGAAAAGAGCAGGAGTGACCTTCCCTTGCCTGCCCTGCTGGGTACAAAGGAAGCCCCTCCAGGGCCTGATCCTGAGAGTTTTGATTCAGATCAGAGATCTGAACAAGGAGGGGTCGAGGGTGAGTGAGAGATGTTCTAGAATCTTAGGGTTGGGTACTCGGGTGAGTAAGCAGGTAAGCAGACGCTGCTGATGGTCCCCCTCCCCATCCTGCTCACTGGTGATGAGAGCCCACCACATCCTGCGAGCCTTTCTCAGTCCCCCGTTCCTCTAGCCCCCCCCTTCACCCTAGGTCCTTGCAGGGCTGCAGAGTGTAGGATGGGATACGGTGGGCGGTTGGACAAGGCCACGGAGGGACAGTACGTTTCTGTCTCTGTGTTTGCTCCCCTGGTTCAGTGTTGGACCTCTGTTTCCATAGAAACCCAGCATGCTCCTGACAGACTAGGCTTTAGAATGACAATAATAGATAAAAAAGATGGTTGGGGATTTGGCAAGGGTGCAAGATTTTGGCTACATTCTTGGCCAAGTAGCATTCTGTAGGCTGACTGGGAGGCCAAAGACCACATAACATCAATGCTTTTAGAAAAAGCTTTTCCAAACACAGCAACCACCAACTCAGAAATGTATATTTTAATACTGTTTCTAGTTATGTTTTGTCCATCACAGACTTCATAACCTCTTTAATTTAGCCCCTCCCTCTTGCAGAAAATCAGAGATGAAGTTCTCTGACTGGTGAATCCTAAAAGTACATAAGTTTCTCTGCAGAGAGACAGCTGAAGAGGTCCCGTCAAAATAGGCATTAAATTCATGCCTGGCTAGGTGCTACCTTGTTTTGTGGGAGATGTTTAACATAACTTAAATTTTCTAAAAAACTATTCTAAATTTTACAAAATTATTCTGATGTTCAAATGGAGAAATACTCATGAGAATTAGAAAATTCTGGGGAAAAATAAGAGGGACTTGACAGATTTTAAAATGCATTATCAAGCTACAGTAATAAAAGCACTTTGATACTGGTAGAAAACAGGGTGCTCAGTACAGTTTCCAGGGTAGTAGGAACCTCATATTTAAAGGTGGCATTATTAGGGAAAATATTGGTGGTTCAACAAATAGGTTAAAGATATCTGACTAGTTAATGGAAAAAAATTAAAGTGGATCCTTATTTTCATCTTACACTAAAATTGGGAATGGACTTGTTTTCTTTTTGTTTTTTCTTTTTAAACACATACCAATACAATCCAGGTAGAGGGAACATAGGTGAATTAATTCTGCAGTCTTGAGGCAAAGTAGGAATTTCTAGGCACAATACCAGTATTTTATGGTACAGCTGTATTAGTGGAGGTCCCACTCAAATGCAGGAACCTAAGAGGAGAGTTTTTAATAAAGGAAAGATTTATGAAAGTGTGAGTCTATGTAGAGAAACCAAAAGGGATAGTGCAGCACCCTAGGGCTGACAGCAGTGGGGAGCTGTTACTTCTCCCTGAAGGGACGAAAATAGGGGCACTTACTGGAACTTGGGCAGCATGGGCATGTGGGGAGGGCTGCCTGTCTGACAGGAACTGTGGCCTTCAACAGAGGGAGTGGACAAATGCCAGACAGTATTCTTCTCTGTACCTTATCGCCCCACCCCTCGACCCCCCGCCTACACAGCGTGATTTGTGCGGGCCAACCCTTGGGGTATAGGGAGGAACCTGAATCCAGGGGGCAAATGGAAATATCAGCACAGGGTTAAGGGATGTGATTATTTTTCAAGAATTTTAAAAAATATGAGTTTGCCTGCTAGAAATGTAGCGATTTCTTAACTCCCCACTGGTAGCCTAAGGGTAGTCCATTTTCCTATACCTTGGCCAACACCGGGAATTACCATGTTAACCTGACCAATGTGGCTGGCTCCTTCTCCACAGTCAGGTCTCTGGCCAAACGCCACTCCTCAGAAAAGCCTTCGCTGGCCTCCTTAGTCAAAGTAGCCAGCTCCGCCCACACCCCTGACCCGCTCTGTCCCATTACCTGCCCCGCTCTCTCTGTAGCACTAACCACTCTCTGAAGTTATTTCTCTATTTACTCATCTGTTTCCGCCTCTCCAAGATAAACCCCGTGAGAGCAAGGACCTTGCCTGCCTCTTCCACAGCTCTCTCTGTAGTACAGTGCCTAGTATGTGGTTTGTGCTCAGTAAATTTGGGTTAAATAAATGTATCCCCATAACACGGACCACCATCCCTTCTGAGAATGTGTTGAATTCTAACATGTACCAGGTACTAACGTCTCGTTCATTGTTTACTTCTTTTCTCCAGCTCCCCTACTTTATGAATGAGTTAACTCTGACGGAACTTGACATGGGGGTGGCTGTGCCAAAAATCCTTCAGGCCTTCAAGCCTTATGTTGATCACCAAGGTAACTCTTAATTGACTTGAGGGAGGAATGACCACTTACATGAGTGTGAAAATGTCTCCGTCACTGCAGACTGAATACCAAGGCTTTGTGTTTGGGGGGAGCTGGGGGCTTTTTAAATCATGTATTTCATGTTGGTTGTCTTCGTTGTTTACAGTCACAGCTTCAAACTGATGGGGAAATAGATCAGGTCTGCCCCTCCTATTCCTTCTAGCCTCTCAGATCCTTAAAAAGTCCTCCTGCTGCCCAAGATGCCCATGTGCCATCTGGGGTTTCTGTGTGACTCAGGAAACAGTCCCTGCCCCGAATGGCTGCAGCCCTTGCCAGGGCGAGAGGCAGTGGGCTGGATCTCGGCTCCACTCACCCCACACTGGCCTCGCCCGTGCACCTGAACTCCTTCCAGGAGCTGCCTCTCCTGGTGCACATCCACGTCTTTACCTTGCCCAGCTTCCAGGTTGCAGATTCTTTGATTTTCATTTTTTACATCTTTATGTTCTTACCACTCCTAGTAGACACATAGTAGGTATCTGAAAAAGGAACACTTGTCAGGTAATATTTTGAGATTAAGCCCCTCTGTTGGAGGAAGGTAATCGGATTTGATTTTTAAGACATGCTACTGACACATTATTTACATCTACTTGTATGGGTTGGGGAAGAAAGAATTTATTAGAATGCATAAAGAGTTTAAATAAATGTAAAGATTTCTGTGCATTTTGTGGCACATAGCTTTAAAGGACCTTGATAAAAAAATTTAGTACACAGAAGTTTGGTGAAAAGAATGAGCCAGATAGGCAAGAGTAGTCTGTGAGCAGGCAGGGAAAAAATCTCCCCATCATGGAAGCAGCCGATTTTTTTTCTGTAATATCCCTTTTCAGGTGAACCTCTTTCTACCTAAACTGGATTTACATTATTCCCCCAAAGCTCAGGAACAGGGTAGAGAAGAAAATCATTACAACGTTTTAAGAGAGTGATATTTGTTTTGAAGTAAATGTTTTGGAAAATGTAGAGACTCTAACATCTACTTGTGTCTCTGTATGGCTATATCAGATGGCTCTTGAAACATATTTAGGGAAATCATTTTCTGTGTTTTTATATATGTATATTTGATATCAATACAAAGGCATTATTTTCCTGGTGCTATCACTCTGGCGATGTTTCAGCTGACAATGAGCCTATATTTTCATGTTTTGAGTACTCCATTGATTTCAGAGAAAGGTAGACTAGAATATTATTTACAAATGCAGAAATCCACATTGAGATTGCCTATAACCACTTAATTGTGTCTATACTTTAATAAACCTGAGTGTTCCTGCATTTGATTAATTCCTGGTTTACAAAGAGTAAAACTAGAAAATATTCTTTGCAAATGATTTAGCTAGAGTTCTCTTAACCACATGTGGAAGTTTAAAAGATGCATCATCTCTGTATTGAGTGTGTAGCTAGGATCCGCACTTCGTTGTTGCATACAAGTGCTGCCTGCCTTCTGCCTCTAGCAGGCTCTGGGTTGCCCTTTGCTCTTGGCCTCCTTAGGAATTGACTTGTATGTAACAAACTGGTAAATGATCAGCTAACATAAACCTCCAGAGAGTGGGGCTTAAAGAAAGTAAATAATACGTGTACGTGCTCTGTTTTCTAATGCGTTCGCAGTCTCTTATCTCAGGACCAGATTTGTTCTCTGTTGAGTTAGTAGAAATTTCCATCGAGAAGGGAGCAGTGCCACAGCTACATCTAAGAAATAGTCCCCGTGGCTTTGAACTCTGCAGCTTCCCAGGGCAGCTTTGTCAGGCTCTATCTGAAATTCATAACTGTCTTAAGTCTCCAGTCTCTTTGCTGTCCCTCTGAAGAAAGACATTTCACTAGATCAGCGATTTTCAACCTTTTTCATCTTGTGGTACCATAAACTAATTACTAAAAGTCTGTGGCACACCAAAAAAATACATTTTTTGCTGATCTGACCAAAAAAGTATAATTTTGATTCATATTGTTGTGTTATCTGTTGTCTTTTTTTCCTCTTTTTTTGACAATCTAAGGGAAAATAAGTCAGTGCTCCTGACTAAATAGTTAGGTATTGTATGTTTTAAAAATTCTTGTAGCATACCAGTTGAAAATTGCTGTACTAGATAGATTAAAGCTTTGCTGGTTTTTAATCCATTTGAGGCTTAATTAACTCCTTTCAGGGCAAGTTTTAGAGACCTGGCTGCTTATGTACCAAGGGAGGAAAGGAATGATAAAGAAAAGACAAAGCCTGTGGGTTTTAAATGTTTCATCAAATTATGTTTTTCCAAGTCTGCAAATGATACAAGTGGTACGCCCGAAATGGACATGGAGGAGACACATGTTTTGGGTTCCATTGCTCTAAGGAAACCTCTGCCTTTTAGGGAAGTTAAAATCAGGGGTGACTTGCTAAAAGTGACTCTGAAAAGCAGAGTTTATTTTTTAGGGAACGGCAACCCAAAGGTGAAGAGGCTTCAGTAGCTCTCTGGAGAGGCATCTCCCATGGGGGCCCCCACACACATACTTTTTTTTTCTTAAATATTTGCTAACTTGTTTGTTGGAGGCACAAAGCTCAGGAGGGATATTTGGTCCAGAACTGGTTGGATTGCTCTATCCTCCAGATGCTCTTCTTGGGGCAACACAGAACGGTGGTTCTGAGCACCAGCTCTGGGGCTGGACTGCAGGGGTTATAGGCGACCATCTGACAGCTTACAGCTTACAGCAGATTCTACCAGAATAAATGGAAAGAAAAATGCCATTGTCAGCTTTCATGGCTTTGCAAAGGAGCAGAGTCTAGTTCTCTTGAATAGAGTCACACATTGGCCTTGTTGGCTTGTGCAAGTTTTGGGACACACAGGCAAGTTCTAGTGTAGTTAATAACCTCCTTCCCCAGGGTGTCCTCACTTCCATCAATGGCAGGTGGCTGTGAACAGGCTTTCCACATCCTGCCTTATCCTGGCCTCTCCCTACTCCACGTACTTCTCTATCCAAGGAGTGTTGCGGGGAGGGGGGTGTCTCCTCCCTTCCCTTCAGGCCATGCAGTGGGATCCAGGATCCTGTGTGGGAACCCCCCAAACTGGCTTCCCCTTCCCACCCCTTAACCTCACCTGAGCTGCTGTGTCCAGGCCCAGGCCTCTGGGGTCCACCAGACCACCCCGCTCAGCCACACTCCTTCCCGTTGTTTTAGTAACTTGGTCAGGGCGCATTATGTTTGCCCCTTCATTTATTCAGCAAATACTCACTGTCAGGAAAACTGGAATGTTTAGATAAAAAGGAAAATATTCCCCATCATTTCACCATTCAGAGACAGCCAGGGTTACCTTTTTGGTACCTTTGGTATATTCTCTTCTAATATTCTTTCTCTCGTGGTTAAAAATTAATTCAGAATCGAACACTTAATGAATTGAGCAGATTGACTACAGAGGCTTGTAAGGGCGGTCAGAGATAACCTAGCCAGAGCCTGCTGTGTTTTAGACGTGGAAGCCAAAGCCCAGAGTGGGCGTGTCCTGTTCCACAGCTGCTGGGCCTGAGGCTCTCCGTGAGCGCGGACTCTGCGCTGCAGCTGAGCAGCCCGCACTCGGGCCTGCTCTGTCACCGCCCAGGGTGAGACCTTGGGGGTTACTAGCAACTCGGCTTCAGTTGCCCTACTCGTAAAGTGCTGGTGTCAGGAGTGTCTGCCTCGTTCTGTTGTGGTGGAGGTAAAATGTTACATGTGAAGTGCTCAGACTGCACATGTGGCACATAGTAAGCCATCAGTGTTTGCCACTGCTGCTGTCGCAAAGCTTTGTTGTTAGTGAAAGCTTCCTGATGGGGCTCAGCGGGAACCTCTTCTGTCAGCCAGGTTTTCATGTTCTGTACCCAGGACCAGTGTCAGAATGAATCGAGGGTGTAGACTGTGGCTCCTCAGGTGCAGATTAATTCATTCAGTCTTCAGGACATTTGCTGCACGTATTGAAGTCTGCAGTCATTGAGCATCTAACATGGACAGTGCTGTACTAGTTTTGCCCTATTTCAGGACACCCAAATAACAACCCACGTTTCATCTGAAGGTGTCACATTCTGTGGAAAGATCGCCATGACCAACAGGAATGGGAACCTTGTCTGTCTTCAGGGAGGCCCTTAGTCATGACTGGTGGTGTCCGCCCTCTGCCGCTCGTCTTCCAGACCTTAACCTGTGGTGCCTGCTGCCTTTATGCAGTGCGGGAACTTAAGTTACTTTGCCAACTGATTGTTTCAGAAACTGGAACCACAGTCAGGCTGCGTGACCTGCCCATTCCTCCTGCCATACCCTTGTCAACAGTAGATGTTAGGAGGGCATCTGTCCAGGGCTGAGCACAGTGACAGGGACAGACCATGGGGCTTGGCACTGATAGGAACAGCAGGCACACTCTGCCTAGATCATGTTTCACAAGGAAAAAAGATTTTTTGTGGAAAGGGAGAAAAAAGACCCTTTTGTGGAGCTTGGTTGGGGTGGAAGAGAAGAGATTGATTTACAACTGTGTCCACCTTGAAAGGCAGTGCTGTTTCCGAGAACATTTACAGGTAGACAAAGGTAGAAATGACATCCATTCTAAAAGATACAGCCAAATACAAGGAATTCTAGTTTTCTCTGTTATCTGAGTAATATGACACCAGTCTGTTTGCCAGAAGCAATAGTCGCTGGTGAGTTCTAAGAGCTGAATAACTCAAACATTTGCTCTTGGTAATATGTTATTAATGCTCCATTTTAAGAAGTTTTGTTCCTTGTATGCCAAATGTTGACTTTCAGAGTGAAGATCAACCACTAATAGAGGTAGAGGAAATGGAGAAGCAGATAACATGAGGGCCAAGCCCAGGTGAGCAAGGCTTTAGGTTCTCTCAACCCCTGAGCTGCACATGCCTTGTTAAACCCATGCCAATGAGACTGAGGCCTCTTAGTTGTTTTAATAGTAATAAAGCCCTGGCTGGTGTGGCTCAGTGGATTGAGTGCTGGCCTGCAAACCGAAAGGTTGCTGGTTCAATTCCCAGTCAGGGCACAGGCCTGGGTAGTGGAACAGGTCCCCGGGTTGGGGTGTACAAGAGGCAACTGATGGATGTGTCTCCTGTGCATCCATGTTTCTCTCCCACTCTTTCTCCTTCCCTTCCCCTCTCTCTAAAAATTAAAAAAATAAATAAATAAAACAGTGAACTCCTGAGTGAAATTATGAGATGGATATGGCCATGCTAGAACTATTCCTGAGGCCGTGGGGTCTTTTAAATAGACTACCAGGAGGAAGGCAGAAGAACCTCTGTGCCAGGTGTCTTGTTATCTCTGGTGATTCCCATCCAGGCTGTGTACTATCTCTGGTGGTATCATGGTCCAAACTGCACCCGGTGGCCCGAGCATCTTTATTCTTCTTCAAGCATAAACTTCCAGAGGGCAGGGATTCACTTCACTGTCCTGAGCTCTGCTGCCTTGCATTAAGAACTCAGTAAGCATTTTTGGACAGAGTGAGCAGTAACTTTTGCCACTGTCTCCCTTGGAATGGTAACTGAGACTTTCCCCTCGAAGCTGAAGAGTGGAAAAACAGTCATCTGAGCTCCTCACAGGTTCTTGCATGAAGGCTCACTGAAGCTTGTCATTGTCAGCTCTGTTTCCCTGTTGTGGAATAAAGTGCCAGTTTTATAGAGACTTCTTGGTAATCAGGCACCACCCTTCGCCACCAGACAGCTCCTCAATACGAAGACCCCTTGTGTGAGGGAGACCTGATACAGACTCAACGTTTGTGTCCCTCCCAAGTTCGTATGTGGAAGCCCTACTCTGCAATGGGGTGGTATTTAGAGGTAATTAATTAGGTTTAGATGAGGCCACGAGGGAGGGGTGCTCGTGATGGCATGAGAAGAGACCAGAACGCTGGCTTGCTCTCTCTCTGCCTTGTGAGGACACAGTGAGAAGGTGGCCATCTGCAAGCCAGGTGGAGAGCCCTCACCTGGAACCGAATTGGCCAGCCCCTTGATCTTGGACTTCTGGCCTCCAGAACTGTGAGAAATAAATGTCTGCTGTTTAAGTTGCCCAGTGTGTGGTATTTTGTTATAGCAGCCCAAAGGTAAGACAGCACTCTGTGTTCATGTCCTTTCAGGAGAACCTTTCAGGACTGACTGCCTTACTCCTATTCAAAGGCTTAAAAAATTGTCCTTCTCCTCAGCTTCTTGAGCACTACCCAGAGCAGATGGTTATAGAAAGTGGCATGTTAAATGAAATGCCTCACAGTAACGTTTTAACATTTGTTAGGGAACAGCTCTGTAACTACATTCATCGCCATGAGCAGCGCTCAGCTCGGTTAGAGTGAAGATGCCACCCGTGGCACGGTGTAAGTCCCCAGCCTCACATCGCTGCTACGTTAATCCCCAGTGGGAAGACAACCTTTCTAGAAACTGTTAATTTCATCTTTCACTCTTGCAAGGTGGCAGCCTTCTGACTCACCCATTATATAACCAGTTGGCCTTGGCTCCAGTTTGTTGTGCTCCCAGGTTTCCAGGGTGCTTTCTGCCTGCTGGATCCTGTCACAGAAGCAAGTTTTTTCTTGCACCTAATGCTAAAATTGTCTCTCTGCCTTCATCTGAATGTAAGCACATCATATTAAAGAAATTTGTTGGGATATCTGCAGTTTATATCTGTTCTTAAAGGTTCTCAAACCATTCTTGACTTCTTCATGTTTTTCCTGAGAACCAGGGCTGAGCAAGGCCCCGTGGGTGGGCTTCATGGGATATATATGCAATGATACAAGAAAACCGACCCTGTCCCCCACGCAGAGACTCGGTCAGATGTCCACCTCTCGTCCCGTCCCCAGCCCGCACAAGGCTCTCCAGCTGCCCAGTGCAGCCTCTTTCCTCTTGGCCCTGAGGCCCGCTCTGGTCTGGCCCCTGTCTGCCCGGCAGCAGCAGCAAGCGAGGCTGGAGCCCGTGTTGTGGAAGCAAGGAGGGGCTGGCGATGGCAGAGAAGGGGAAGAGCCCTGGCCAGGTCGTGCCAAGCGCTGGGCTGCGCATATCAGTGTGGTCTCCCTTGTGCAGATGAGGCCAGAGGCCAGAGCACAGAGGGCAGGAAACTTCCAGTGAAACTCAAGCCCCAGTCCATGTGACTGGGCACCATGTGCCCTTCCCACCTCTTCCCTGCCTCAGCTCTGGGAAGGCAGAGCACTGGACCACTGTGTCACCGAGGCACTGTCCCAATGGCTGGGGCTGGGGCCGGAGGCCTCCTAAGCCTGTGTCCTTAGCCATGCACTTAAAAAACAAACATAACCTTCCACTTTATAAGAGGTAAAATTCTGGTGCCCTTAATATGACAACCTTCAAAGGCAATACATACTGTTAATACTTACTGGAAACCAGACTAGGGTTTTCAAAAGAAATGATTATGTCTGAATACATACAGCAACCAGGTAACTTGAGTCTATTGATTCTCAAGTTAAATAAAGCTGGGGACCTAGAATAAATATTTTCTTTATTGATGTTCTTTTTATATTGAGTTTAAAATCTATTAATATCAAGCCTATTGCCCTGATGCCTTTTCTATTGGAAGATTAATGACTAAATGTTTTTATGAAGGCAGTCGTGCCCTTGGTTTCCAGGATCGGTACCTTTGAAGAGCGAGCTAAGTAATGATTTCTAACTGCTTAATGTAAGCAAGAAATAAAGTAGTTTTGTGAGTTGCTGCAAAGAAGACAATAACACTTGCTCTGCATATCACTTAATTAAACCAGGTCATTCATGGAAAATAATTACCTTCAATTACGATAAAAAGAATTTTTTAATCATTTTTTTATCATATGTTAAAAACAAGTTGGAAAGTATTCTGCCTTTAGAGAAGAATTATATACCATTAGCGCTTCTTGAGGTTAAGCACAGCTTTTAGCATAGATGGTGGCCAAATGGGGGATAGGTTATTTACTGTAATTGCTTGAAAATGCTGCTATGTATGAATAACAGTTTTTGATTAATTTCCTGCTTCCTTTAAATGTTGTCATTTATTAACATTTAAACACCCACTTGAAGGATCATATTTTGATTGAAAGTCCATGAGGTATTACGGCTCGCTTGAGTCTGAAAAATCACAGTATATCCTGTTCTACCTGCTGAGTCATCGGATCTTGGTGTAGAAGGTCCTGCGGTGATTAATTGATCCCTGTTTGCATTTTAAGTTGCTGCTGGTGGGCCATCCCAGTGAAATTCCACAGAACTAAAAGCCTCTTAGGTATGATCTCATTGACATTGGTATCTTTTCCAAGGAATACGTTTTTTAACTAAGGTACAAAGTGATTACCTGGTTTTATCTGGATAATCCTGGGGCTTGACCATGAATTCTTTTGTTCTCATTACTAGGCAATTTCCAGAAAGAAAAGAATTCTAAAAGTTTTTGTCACTGGCCTTATTATACCAAGCTAAATCTGAACTGTTTTCTGTGTCCCTTCCTTTCCGCCCCCACAATTTTAGATAATTTTAAGAAAACCAGTGGTTCTGACGTGTATCTTTAAAGAACAGCCCAGCTTTGCAGTCAAGTCACAACAGCTCTCCTCTGCCTGGTAACTGGCAGGGATTCAGCAGACCTCATCCTGGCTTTGCCCTGGGTCAGGTCATCCTCTTCCTGAATGTGAGAGGAACCCAGAGGATGGGGCCCTCCCAGCACTACCGTGTGCGCGAGCGCACTGTGGCCGTTTCAGTAGGGTACTGAAATGCTGGCAGCTTGCCAGGCGCGTGACCCATTTCCCGAAGCTTTGCTTTCCACAGTTCCTTTTGCATGCCTGGGTAGCACAGGTGATACCTCGCTGCAGACTTTCAATGTGAGACCTATTTAGCTACTTTCAAATATAAATTTTTATACTGTCATTTATAGTCATGTATTTCTGGGGGGGAAAAAACCTTCTGTTTTTTCACCATTTCTCCAGGACTCTGGATCGATTTGGAAATGTCCTACAATGGGTCCTTTCTGATGACTCTTGAGACCAAAATGAATTTGACCAAACTAGGTAAAGAGCCTCTTGTTGAAGCCCTGAAGGTTGGAGAAATTGGCAAAGAAGGGTAAGGGGCTATATGAATTTACTAACCCAACCCTGGGGAACCACCCTCTCCCTCCAGCCTTTGAGGAACAGGTTTGATGTGTAGTAGTCCCAGATGCTGGTTCCGCTTCCTTGTAAGTGCTTCTGGACCACTGAGGGTTTCGGGGAATGGTTCCCTGCTTTCATCCCCTGCAGACTGTGAGTCCCCACCTCTACTCAGCACCTGTTGGCCTTAGTGCTGCTGGTGGGCCACACAGTATCGATCTCCCAGAAAGCGTCACTGACTCAGGCCAGCAGGGCAGGCTTGTCTGCGCAATAAAATGCTCTCTGAAGAAAATCAACGTTCAGAAAGTACCTCCTTCAACTTGCAGCCGCAAACAGCCATGTGTGGGTAAGGCTAAGGTCTCCAGGGGTTCGCTCTGCTTTAATCACAAATATTTATAATTAGCGACTGGTTTTATAGCCAAGAGGGTGGTGCTCCTAAAGTGTTTTGAAATACATTTTCCCTAAATAATACAGTATTGACCTGTTTAGTAAACGCCTCTCTTTGTAGAAGATCCTGCATCTAATGTCCAAAGTTTGTCTATTTTAGTAAATATTCCAAATTTTGAGCTAATTAATAAAGTTTGATTTTTTTTTCCCTTAAATGCCTGGACTACATAAGCTGGAATACGTTATATTCCCACACACCTTTAAAATGACTGACTACAAATTTAAATTATATAATTGTTTTTACCAAAATAAAAATGCTGATTGGAGTCTGCTTCTCATATCTTTAGCCACTCTGCAGACTTAACAGCATGATGACAGGAAAATGCCACAGGGAGCTACCTTCTCAGAGTCTAAATATAAGACAGACTCAAGTTTTTGCTTACTTATGATATTGACCTGATACTTCTATTTATATTGTGCTAAGAACAGATCGGGGGAGCTGGGTCATACATTTAAGAATGTTCTCTTACGTAGATTACTCTGATTTATCCAGGTTACTTAATGAAATGTTGCTATTTTAATAATTGGAGAATTTCACCTGCTGTATGCAATCTAACGTGTATCTGTGCTATTTCCCTTTTATTTTTCTATTTGTTAAAATGTGTTTGGATTCGGCAATCTGTGGATTGTATTTTCTGGTGAGTGGTATTTATCAGCCCTCCATGTAGCATTTCATACCCTGTCAGTACTGAGTCTTGTTTAATCCTATGTGACACCACTTGGAAGCTTGTCCTTTCATCACATTTCTGGATATAAAGGCTCAGTTTGTAGACCTGCCAGGATTGAGGTCAGGAGTATTTAAGAGGCTTTCCTGGCAGGGCAAGTCATAGAAACTTCCTTGACTTGAATTGCTGGGGGATCTGGTCCTGTGGTTGGGCTCAGCTTTTGTCCCTGTGCCCCCGCCCATCACTGTGCCCACCTGAGCATCACCAGTCCAGCCAGGGCGAGAGTTGCAGAACCAGCTGCCTATAAAGTGAAGCGCGTCAGGCAGGAGCAGCCTTGAACACGAAGTCTGTCTAAATGGGAGCATGACAGACAAACATCTGTCAGCAGCCCTTGTACGAGGAGCCCTTTCTGGAAATAGCCTGTGCTGGCACGGAGCTGCTGGCGCCCCTGAGTTCCTTGCCGCTAAGGTGTTTCACGTTAACTCTTAATCATCTGGCTCTCTTGGCATGATTTCAGGTTTATAAACTCTTGCTGATCAGATGATCGATATGTTTCAGAGCAAGCAGTCTTCCTAGACTGTGTGGGGGAAAAAATCCTCTGCTCTTAGAATATGATGGTATTTTATTTAATTTGTAATATATTTCTAAAGTACCATTTTTTCCCAGTAGAGTCTGGTATAAAATATTTTGCTTCTTCCTGTGAAGGTGTTAAATTACATGTTGACATGCAGTTGGCTGTCACTTAATTTTAAAAGTAAGGAAAAACACAATCCAAAAGCACTTCACTTAGGAGAAAATGGCCTGGGCACATGAGCCCTTAACACTTTGTTGCATAAGGATCCCTTTGGGAATCTGAGAGCTCGAGATCCTTCTCCCAGAAATGGCCAGAAACGTGTACCGTTTGGCTTACAATTTCGAGGAACATCGAGAGCCTCTGACAGCCCATCCACTCAAAGCTAGAACCGAATCCCAAAAGTGATTCTAGAATCCGCCTCTCCACTTTCTTAGTCCTGAGCACATGGCATCACCCTGAGGCCGCTTCTGGAGGAGAGGCAGTGAGAGTATGCACTTAGCATGCGCTTCAGCATGTGATCTCGGCACTAACGTTCTCCTTAACATTAAAGCCCTGCAAAGAGCAGAGTGTCCGAAGAGTGGGCCAGCAGCGGCCCTTTTCCTCCAGGCCTTCCCTGTAGCCTGGGGCCGCCAGTCCGGGGCCTCCCCTTCAGGCGAGGGCTGGTTCCCCTGCTTTCCTGCTCTGGCAGGATCTCTGCTTTGTCCCCCTGCTTTTGTCAGCCCCCTTTAAGTGTGCAAATAGTCTTGCCCATGGGGAGTCTGAGGCGATGCTGCTCAGCTTGTAAGAAGTCCTACTTACCGGTCAGAAGTTAGTTCACGTCTTCACATTACCCTGAGGGCGATGGCAAGAAATTGAAACCTGTGTTGCTTTATTCTGGATAGTCTTTTTCCCTTTGAAATGTGTATACACTTTATATTTGCAGACATTTTTCTTTTAGTCTGTTTATTTCCCAAATAGTCTTCTTGTTACATATGTAGTTAACATAACTTGGAAGCAGTAAGGTACTCAGTAGAATTCAGGTAGTGAGCTGAGCAGTCTTAACTTTAGGAACTGCCTCAAGAGGCCCAAGTGAGTCTGTCAGGGACACGTTCTGTGTGTTGGCTGCTCGTTAAAATGCAGGGTAGCCTTAGACTGGGGCGTTTCCTGGAAGGCGCTTGGGATGCTCATGCCCTGCCACTGCAGCCTGGGCTGGTGTGCGCGTCCGCATGGGGAGGCCCTCTGTCCTCCATGCTGGGTCCCTAGTCCCCAGTGTTCCCTGAACCACCACCACACTCCACCCTGAGGCCCCTGAGGTTTGGGGAGCTGAGTGCTTGCCGTCTGCACTGTGACCACATCTGGCCCTGAGGATGTTCGCACGTGTGTGTCTGCGGCAGATGTATGGGACAGACTTCTCTTAAAAGGAAATGAATGCATTCTATGAGTGTGGTCCCCATAAAGCAGTCACCTCACCGGCTTGTTTCACTATGCGTCCTTCACTTAAAGCATTTTGGAGCTGCTTTTAAAGAGTTGCCTCGAGAGTCTATGACATTCTTTTAACTATCCTGAGTGACAGAAAATCACCCAGCTTTGTAGATGAATTGGATCTTTGAGAAATTGCTTAGAAGTCATTCAGAGCCGATGGCAATGAGACCAAGGAATCAGATATTTGGTCTGAGAGTGTCAGTCATAAAATAATTCACTTTTTTGTATGTGCCTGGCTCCAAACACATTTCCAAAAAGATTTTTAGCAGAGGCAGCAAAGTTGCAGTAAGCCTTTTAAGGTGACTCTTTGCAAGGATATCACACTCATGTGGAATTTTAAGGTGTGCTTTTAAAAATTAGGCTTTATTATTAGTTCTAGCATGTCTTACATAAATAAGGATGTATGCAGTGTGTCTTTCTCTGAAGTTTATGCTACATCATAAGGTTGAGATCAGAAAATGCATGTTTAGTTACAAAACTGAGTATCAGCCAGTTAGTTACACATTTAATTAGTAAGTATTGGGTGCCTCCTGCAGAGTAGAGGTAACATTTGGTCAAAATCAGAATTTTGTGCCATCTGATCTGCTTTAACTGTTAATAGCATTGTCTAAATTATTAACTTCCAGCCACAAAATTTGTCTTGCTCTCTGCCCTGCAGAGGATTAATTCGGAAACCTGAGAGCTCACTGCAGTGCTCAGCCTTTGGCATCTTCTGCCCTGGGTCTGGAGGCTGCCAAATGACAAATGCTGGTGGGGACAGGAGGGGGCAGTGGCTCACTGGATTTCACTGTGGTCCCAGATCTTGAGGCAGCCTTTTGTGCTGATGGATGGGAAGCAAGACGCAGATGCTTACCTGGAAGCTCTCAGTGAGAGCCAGGGAGCCCAGTCATTACTGGTAGAGAAGTAGGATACATTTCTGAGATGGTTGTGTTATCCTTGGGATTTATGCCCCTGACTTTCCTCGTCTCATGTCCCAATTTAGGCTTGCTTGGAAATCATTTTTTGCTATGTACATGTAAAATAAAAGAAGTTCTAGTGAGGGCTCTCTAACCATGGAAAGCCCTGAAGTCGCTTTGTGACCAGCGAACACACATATGCATTTCCAGGATCAGTTGGGCCTCTGATGGAAGAGGAAGAACAAGTCAGTCAGGTGCTGCTGCTGTTTCCCTGGCCAGGGACAGGAGGCTTTTGTGTCAGTGAAAGGAGTTTCCCTTTAACACTGCCCTCAAGCCTGTTGGCTGAAGCAGCTGGCTCTCATGTTTCAGAGCTGGTGTTAAGGAGGATCCGGGTGTTCTGCCAGGGAGGACACTCGAGGGGTCCTCTTACAGCCAGGCTCCTGTTTCAGGGGCGGAGATTTCAGTCCTGCCCACCCGGCGCTGGGGCCTCTGCATGTGTGCTCTGCCCTTAGGTGCCCTTGGCTCCTGTTGACTAGGAGATGACTGCCCCAGCAGGCTGCTTCTGGTGGCCCAAGGACGACGTCAGAGGAAAACCCCAAAGGGTTGCACCTACAGGGAGATAGGACCTAAGTTGTACTGCCTTGCCCTGTCCTGGTAATTTTGTCCTCATAAAAAATACAAGGCCCAGCTTCTGCTTAGTGACCATTTTTAATAGTGTTTAATAGTGTTCAGAGACTACGCTGTCTTTTGCTCATTTTGTCCCAGCTAAGCTTCTGAGCCTCGGAGTTGGGCGCTGCCCGTCTGCCTCCCCTGAGGTAAAGCTGCCATCTGGGGAGGGAGCTGCCTTTTGTGGGGCTGAAGCTCAGCCAAGAAGCCCCTGGTGACCCTAGGTAGGGAACGCTGGTCACTCACTGCTCCTGGTGATCCAGCCATCCCCATGCCTTTGGAAATGGAATTTCCAACCTGGAAAGATTAATGGGGGGCATTGATCTCCAATAAGGCTTTTTTTTATTTTGATGATTTTTTTTTTAACGATTTTTAAATTTGTACTTCTCCAGGACAGTTCCTGGGTTCTCATATCAGTTGCTTCCTAGAGTCCCTTAAAATTTGTACTCTGTAGTTGCTGGCTTTTTCTGTGACCGTCAGGAGCTGGGCCAGGTGTGGGATAAGATAGGTAATTTCACTAGGAAAGGAGTGTTGAGTCTAAACTAATTTAGAGCTAACAAAACCAGAGAGCAGCTTATGTTTTGAATTCAGCCAGTCGGGGGACTTGCCTGAATATCCCCATCATTGGTGAGGGGTGGTCACATCTGCGCCATAAGCTGTCACCTCACCGTGAGAACCATCGTTCTTTCTGTTCCCCTCCCCACTTGGCTATTGCTGCACTGTTGAACTCACTGCATTTTGTGTCAACTGCACCAGACTCCCACCACCTGTCCTGACGCATGCGCCAAAGAAAACTCTTCAGACCCAAGTTGTCCGTGTTTTCCCAGGGGACTTGGTGCTGAAGCGTCTCCCGGGTAACCAGTCCAATCCGAGGACTCTTGGATTGGGCCTTTCTTTGAGGGGTGGATTGGAAGAATGGTGACGTGTGGTGGTGGTGATGGTGGAGCGTCTGTGTTCTCTTTGGAAGCAGAGCCTGGGTGCTGATGGGTGGGCTACGGTGGTGATTCTGCCCTGTTCAGTTGCAGGCCCAGGGCTTACTGTCTGGCTGACAGCGAGGAGGAGTCCTCCAGTGCTGGCTCCTCCGAGGAAGACGATGCACCAGAGCCCAGCACGGGAGATAAACCAATTCTTCCAGGGGCCGAAGGGTGAGTGGATCTAGCTTCCGGGGTCTCCAGCAGTCAAGGCAGCAAATTGCAAGTGAGCTAGTTTCCCTTCTTCCTCTCTGATCTTCCTTCCTCCTTCACATTGAGTGAATGGTTTTTGCATTAGTAACCCAAAGTCAGAGACTTGGCTAAATTCCAGACCCCGAAGCAAAAATGGCCGTATTTTCCTTGCTTAAAGGGGTCCCAACCGAAATGACTCACTCTGGCGATCAAATAGAATTGAATGGTGTGCTTATCGCAAGGAGCACAAATTAACACAACACCGCCCCCTGGTGCTCAGTGGAGAGCATTACCCCTTTCAGTTGGCTTCTGTTGAGCGGCTAGTTCCTACAAAGCTGAGACATTGAGTCTATTTCTTTGGTGAGTTTTGAAACCGTAGATTCCTTAGCTGATCTTTTTTTTATCATGAACTTCATTTCCAGGGCTGTCTTTGCCTATTACTTGGACTGTGGAATGATCAAAGTGCTTAAACAGTCTCTCTGTACAGATCTTTTATTTAAAGCTCTTAAAGAAGTCAGAAGCATCTGTAAGAAAATATCAGCCTATTCATTTTTGAAATCCTACAGAAGATGAAAAGAGAATCCTGACATTTGAGGAGCTGGTTCTAAAGTTTGTGTGCATTATTTAAAATGTACCCACTTGACCTTCTTAGGAATGATTGCTTTTCCCTACATGCGTATACATACTATTCCTGACACTCTAGAACTGAGGTAGATTTTAAAAAGCAAATATCTTCTCTTCCTAGGGAAGTCTTATGGTAGGTATTACCAGACACAAAAGCTTGCTTTCTTGGCCTGCTATCATGTTAGCTCAATGTAGCATTTTTCCTTTAGAAGTTCCTAATCCCTTTAAAAAGTAGTTGCCATTCAAAGTTGGTATGACACCACCTAAAATTCAGTCAGTAAAAAAATTGTTTTCTGTCCCTGTCAATGCAGTATGGTTCCTTAGTGCCATCTAGAAATGGTGAGATTTCTCTAAGAGGACACTGGATTTATATTCAGCATTTGAGCATTATAAACATGAGATGCCTTCTCAGTTTGCCCTGAGAACTTTGACCCTCCTTTGTCAAGACTCAGCTCTCTGTGATGTTTACACTTTGTCCAAAGTAGTAGTTTTCAACTGGGGATTATTTTATCCTTCAGGGGACATACAGCAATGTCTGACGACATTTTTTATTGTTGTGACTGGGGGGAATAGGCCAATGACATAGTAGGTAGAGACTAGGAATGCTGCTAAACATCTTACAATGCACAGGACAGTCCCCACAGCAAAGAATTACCCTGTTCAAAATGTCAGTGGTACTTTGGCTGAGAAACTAGTCTAAGTCAAGGTGAATGAAGAGCCACAAAGTTTTCAATTGTGAAGGAGCAGTTTATATTGACACCTGTCTGTGTCCCACATTTAAAGGTATGTTGGAGGTCATCGAACAAGTAAGATTATGAGGTTTGTTGATAAAATTACCAAGTCAAAATATTTCCAAAAAGCAACGGAGACAGAATTCATTAAAAAGAAGATTGAAGAAGTCTCCAACACACCCCTGCTGCTAACTGTAGAAGTACAAGAATGTAGAGGAACCTTGGCAGTCAACATTCCACCTCCCCCAACTGACCGAATATGGTACGTAGTGGGGCCCTCGGGGACAGCTGTGATTTTTCTTGTTGCATGACCAAAAAGATCCCAGCCTGCTAACCCTTGACGTTATGGAAAGCACCTTCTCTTGGGCAGAAGCACTTTTCATATGTTTTTCATGGAAACTTAATGTCAGTTGTGATCCAATTCTGCTTTTTTCTGTGAATGATTAACTCACATTTAAGATTCATCTTCACATGTTAGGAAGATTTAAGATCAACAGGTGAAGTTGATGGGATGAGCTATTTCTATTCTTGATCTTCTTTCTCTCCAGAGCCAACTCTTTCCACCAGTAAGAATAGCCACCATTTGTAGATCTCTTATTCTCTGCCTGGCCTGGGGTGTAACTGCCTCACCTGGTCCGTCCTCAGAGCATCCAGTGGAGATAGGAGCCATTGTCGTCCCCACTTTATAGACCGGGATCACACATTCATCAGAGGGGTAGATGGTTAGGGAAGACTTCCTGGGTCAGGCCTAGATGTTCAGGAGGCAGGAGCATGTACACTTGGTAACTGTGGTAGGAGGTCTGCCCAAGGAGTTGTAATTGAGTGAACCCGTGGTTCTCAACCCCCCTGTATATCACAGTTACAGGGGGACTTGTTAAAGATATGCCCAACCCAGTGCCCAGGATTCAGGGGTTGGAGAGCTGGTCAGGATTAAGAATCACTGAAATAAAGTATTCATGGGTCCAGCAGAAAGAAATCACTCTCTGAAGCTCAATTTTAAATGGACATTGCAAGTCCTATAAAATGTACACAAGTATATACAGGATTGCATAAGAGACTTCGTAGTATCAGAAACTGTACTCGTATGAAAAAGACAGCTCTGTTCTTTATTATAGAGTGAAACCAACATGCTAATAATATACATCCTTAGCTTTCAGAGGGGATTGTAGAAATGATTCAAAAAGGATTTTTTAATTGACTAATTATTTGGTGATGTTATTGATGTTTTCCCTGTAAAAACTTTAAAATACCATTTTAGATTTTTTTTTTTTAACGTAGTATTTTCATTGGAAAAAAATGAAAAAAAATCCTGTAATCTTATCCAAAAATTACCAGTTAACTCATGGACACAGAAAATGGTATGGGGGCTGCCTGAGAGAATGGGGGGAGGATTGGATAGGGGAACAAAGGGGGATATTGGGTCAACCGTAATAGCTTAAATAATAACTAGTTAATACCTTTCTGTACAGGCTTCCAAATTTAATTAAAAATGTTTTTAAATACTACAAATTGATAACATTTCTTCCCTTCCAAGCTTTATCAGTTACAAATGCTCCTGCTCAGTGGGGGATAAAATTGAAGGCCTCTAGCACCCAATGCCTGCTCAAATGCAGAACTATTTTTTAATGATCAACAAAGATAAGTGTAGATATTGAAGGCGTAAATAAATGTTCATAGCAATTTGACATCTTTATTGTATTTTTTAAAATGTTGGCCCATGACAGATTGAAGTTTTTAGATAGTTTGCTAGCACACAGTCTTGTCTGGATACTTTACTAACAGCTCTGAGTACCAGTTTGCTCTCTTTAGAAGCCATAGTAGCATGGTGTGGAGTGTGGAATGAAAAAGCTGGTTATAGCACATTCTCTATTTACATGTGCATATTACATAGTGCAAGGGAAATGGACCACTTCTCTCTCAGTGGTCCCATTTTGGGAGTGAGATTCAGAGAGAGGGACTTTGACTTTCTGCTTTATACACTTGTATGTCTTGTGATTTGTAACATGTGCAAGGTCTGTCCAGAAAAAGTACAGCCATTGTTAACATAACAGGAATTGTTTGCACGACATCGATGTACTGGGCAGCAAGGGAGAGTGGACTGGAATGTGCATGCATGAACAATGACGACTTCACTGTACTATTCAATGGGGGTAGTAGAAGCCGTTGAGTGAGCATGCGTACTGTGTGGATGTCGCATTCAAAATGACTGAGTGAGTAGAGCAACGAATCTGCATCAAATTTTGCATTTGGCTTGAACATTCCTCCACAGAAACTATTTGGATAATTCAGAAGGCCATAGGTATGGATAACTGGTGATTGGCAGCTTCATCATGACAATGCGCTGGCTCATGCCTCATGTCTGGTGCAGTTTTTTCAAAACATCAAATCACCCAGGTGACACAGCCCAGATTTGGCACCCTGCAACTTTGGCTTTTCCCAAAACTGAAATCCCCTTTGAAAGGGAAGAGATTTCAGATCCTCGATGAAATTCAGGAAAATACCACAGGGCAGCTGATGGCAATTGGGAGAACTATGAAGTCCCAAGGTGCCTAGTTTGAAGAGAACTAAGGAGTCATTGTCCTATGGACAATGTTTCTTATATCTCCTTCAATAAATGTCTCTATTTTTCATATTAGATGGCTGGATACCTTCTGGACAGACCTCATATATATTACTTTTATAAAAATAGAAACAAAAAATGTTGTTGCCATTTTAGGAAAACAAAGCGCAGGTCACTGACTTTTCCTTTTGGGTTTCCTGGCTTTCCCAGTTTGTCAGAACTGTTCTCATAGCACTGCCCAGGGACACACGGAGTTCACAATTCATTCGCTGTGCTGAATTATTTTTAGAGGGAATTATCAGATTAAGAATGTTTAAGTAGTGATAAAGGCCTGTATAAATGAGGAATGTTTTTTGTTTTTGTGCTTGTCTGCTTCCTTTCTTTGCTTCTAAATGTGGCTATTTCTTGTCTTTTCTTTTCTTTTCTTTTTTTTTTTTTTTTTTAAGGTATGGTTTCCGGAAGCCACCTTACGTAGAGCTGAAAGCTCGGCCAAAACTTGGAGAGAGAGAAGTGACTTTAGTTCATGTGACCGACTGGATAGAGAAGAAACTGGAGCAAGAGTTTCAGGTAAACCCGCAGTGTCATCTAGTGTTTCACACCGAGGCCGAAAGCGCCAGGTAGAGCAGGGAGGCTCTGCTTCATGTGGGTCAGGATCCTCATCACAGGGAAGCATGCATATGATCAAACAGGTGTAAAATTTCAGGTATGGTTTCAAAAACTGCAACTCATCCACAGCACCCTGTTAAGTAGTCTTCAAAAAGGAAACCCAGAAGGGGAGGGGTCAAAAAGCAAAATGACTGTCTTGTACCAGTATGCCTGGTGAAGGTTAAGCCCTCTGCCTGCTGGGGCCTTCTTTGGACTTTGTAGGCCCTGGAATTGGCTGGCAAGTAGCACCCACCCATGGTCAGTGAAGTTGCTCCTGCCCTGTGTGATACCCACCTTGCTCAGTTGGTTCACCTCTCATGGAAACCCTTCTGTGTACAGTTGTCCCCGGCCCTGGGAGTCTTAAAGAGGCACCAGGCCTGTCCCTGCCCTGCGGATCTAGGGTAGACTTGGAGTTTACTAGCCAAAGCTCATTCTCCAAGCCTGTCTTCTGCGTTCTGCCACTGGAAGTCAATAGCAGTGTAGCTGAAGCCCTGGGATGAGCTATTTTTATCAAATTTTAATCAGATATTTGAGGCACGGTTGTTTTTCAAGGTCTTATGGATTGGCAATTTATTTACTTTATACTGAATTTCACCTTTAGAAGAAGACCCATATATTTTTGCAGTGGTATGTTTTGAGTTACTGCGTTTGAAACTGTATTTTTATTACTTAAAAGCTATAAATATAACTGAAAACTAATTTCTGGAAAACTTAATATCATCAAATAGAAAAGTGGGTTTTTTTTTTTCCAGTTAAAAACTTTTTATCCCCCCTAATTCCTATATTAGGAATCTAAGTGGGTCGTCTGTTTTAGGATAGAGTGCAAGGAGTGAAAAGCCAAGGGGGCAGAAATTGGTGCCTGGTATTTTTGAGGCAAATTGGGAAGGTGGCCCATGGCCACCTGTTTTTGGTTTCATTTAAGTTTTTGGAAGAGACCATTACTGAAGGTTGAGGTTGAATACATTGCCAAAATTCACTTATATAAAACTAGTTTATAACCAGGCAAAGCACCTTTACTATGAATCACTGATTATCCTATGGATATTCACTATAGTAGGTTTTTTGGCCTGGTTCTGGTTTTTTAAAAAATTGTACATTTTGTTGCTAGATTTAAATGGATAAATTCACATGGACTCTGTCTTCTGGATATAGTAATTTAGAAATATGAACAGCTTAAGTCGATTCTTTCAAAATAACATTGAGTCCATTTGTCAATTTATGAATAGTTTTATTACATGCACACAAAATGAAAGGTTGCTTCTGCCTCCAGGGCTGACTTTTTTTGGGTTCTTGTGTTTATGCACTGATGTGATTGCTCAACTCTAAATATGGTAGAATTAATTTGGTACGTGTAGGATGTTGTTTCACCTTTATTTTAAAAACTTGTCTAAAACCTAAATTATCAGAGAAGGGAGGATGACAGCCTGAGAAAACAAAAGCATTTTCCCACATGGCTGTTCTTTCTCCCTACAGAAAGTTTTTGTCATGCCAAACATGGATGATGTCTATATCCCTATAATGCACTCAGCCATGGACCCTCGCTCCACTTCCTGCCTCCTGAAAGACCCGCTTATGGAGGTCGCCGATCAGCTGTGATGGGTGAAGGCCTGACGTTGCCAGTATTATGAGATCTCGCTCCAGGTGTGGGGTTCTTGGCTGCCATCTGTGCTGTAGCACAGGCCTTTCCTCGTGCCACAGCTTCTGCCCTCTGCCTGCCAGTGCCCATTCCACTGTGAGGTGTCATTCCACGTGCCCAGCAACCGGTGTCTGGATTGCCTACTGCAAAGCTTTGACTCAAAGGAGATTAGAAGAATCACCACCGTAGATCCAGAGGTTATGTGACTCATACCATGGTTTTTTAAGTCTACCAGTTTTTGTGGCAGCAAAAGAGCACATTAAGAGCAAAGCTACAACTGGAAGGCTTCCTTCCCCTTGCCTCAACTCCAAAGCTTTTTCTCAGGCAGCCAGAGCACAAATGGAACATTTTCTCACTCCTAGTTTGTATATGGTGCAGCCCTCCACGTTCTGAATGTCAACAGTTAACATGCGGAGGGTGGGGAATGGAATTTTGTGAATGATTTCATTGGTGATAACAGGATACGCATAGCAACTTTTCTTTGTATTAAATTGTGCATTTTGGAAGCAAGTAGCCATAGAACATACACTAACACACTATCAGCTGGGGTGTGGACGGTGAGATTTCTGTGAACATTAGGCAAAGCCATGAGCTCAAACCATCCCAAACCTTTTATCAATGAGGTACATCACCTGGTTCTAATCCCAAATGATTTCCTGACATGAGCATATGTGAAAATGTCAAATACCACATGACCAGATCACCTTTCGTGTGTTCCAGGAACCTTTATACAGGTTTTCTACAGGCTTTGTTCATCTAATTGGTTCGGGATGTTTTCTGATGGCCCAAACAGAACAGCTCTGATTGTGAGATCAAGACCAAAAGTTTGCTCAACATTAAACACTACATATCTCAATGATACTCCTTCAATGTTGCCAACTTTAATTTGTGCATTTGTGTCAGAATGTCTCGTTTACAAGTGTGGAGGCCCTGCCTCATTGTATAATTTGCTTTGAGAAGTACATTAAAATTTGTTTAAAGCTGCATTCAACATCAAAATTACCTTGAGTAACTTTTGATATTTACATGTGTATTAAGCTAATAGTGGTTTTTTTAAACAGCACCTTGCCTGAACGTGACTTTTGAAATTAATATATTGAAAAACATTGAACCCTTATTTCCCTTATTTGATGACTTTAATTGCACCATTAAACCGTTTGACTTAAATTTGACCATTCCAGTCGGTGTGCTGTTCTAGTTTTTCATTGTGTAGGCCAGTTTGCCAGCCAGTCCGCATGTCTTGTTCACCGGTCTTGTGCAATAACTAAAAGCAAAGGACTAGATGCACTACTGTGTAAAGAGATTACACGACTGTACCCTATTGCACTTAAATTAGTATATGGGGATTTACAATCGCTTGCATTGTTTCACAAAATAAATATCTCATGTCAAATACTAGCTAAAAGCATCTCAGTTATTTCTATCGAATCCTGTTTAGATAATGACAGTCAGCAGTGGGTCCCTCAGCTAGAACAGCAGCTTGTTTTCCTGGTGATCACTGGGCCCGCACTCTCAAGGATTCCAGGTACTCCCTTCACACCTGGACACGAGCTGGATGCTGTTCTCAGTCCACATTTAATCTGGGGGGGGGGGGGGGTAGGCAATCCTGAATTGTATTGTCCACTGGTCGTGTTCCTTGGGGTCCCCTCCAGTTTTCAAAGCAGTTTACACAGCATTTGTGCTTCCTTGTACTCAGAAGTGATGCACATTAAATCTAAACCCAGGTCATCGCCTAGAATGTGATTACAAAGGATTGTGCAGTTATTTAGCTTGCTATAGTGTCCAGTAATGCATAAAATCTCACCTCCACAACTACCCTGTTGTAAACTGGGATACATTTATTTGCCCAACACTTTAGCCCCTTCACTTGACACGTGTATCCAAACACACAGTTGGCCGTAACTGGTAGTGTTTGTAAGAAGGTCGGAGCTACACCTTGGCCAGATTAAGTTCCTGTCAAGCACACCACCACGCCCTTAAAGTGCTTAAGGCCACAGCCTGTCTTCTCCACCGCCATCCACTCCGCGGTTAACTGAAGCTGCATGGCTCACCAATCTAGGAAAGATGAGCCAGGACTGACTGGGCAGGCACGAGTAGGTAGCAGATCCTACAGAACCCCCCCACCCCCAAATCTCCCTGCAGCATTTCAGCCTTAGCTTAAGCGCTGGGTCGTCACAGCCTCTGGAAAGCCCGCCCCGAGCAGCGCAGTGCCGCAGTGTCGCTCGCGGTTAAAAAGGCCGCCAAGGTGGGGGAACAGTCGGCCCCAGTTATGCGCGAGCATCTGCTCTGGCGCTGCAGCCTGACCCCCGGCGCCACGCGCAGGCGCAGCGGGAGTTCAAAGGCAGCGCGTCACGGTAAGAAACACGGACACCAGCGTTGGGGTCAAACCGTTTATTGAGGGACACTAGCGCTGGAATCAAACCGTTTATTGGGGATCCAAGGTCTGGGAGGACGAGATGCGCTGTGCTCGGTCCGGCCGGGATCTACAAGAACAAAAGCGGTAGGTAAGCGGAAGTAGGCCTGTTGGCCCGTTCCCTCCTCGCCGCCACGGTGGCCAAGCTCAGATTCCAGTTCGCATCACCCTTGTCAGCAGTCTAACACGTGCTTTGATTTAAAAGTCATCACCGTTGACCACCCGCCTCGCACTGGAGCCGACCTGCCACAACCCACACTATAGAGCACCTCACTTCCCCAGCTTCACAGCCGCCGAAAGGGGGAGAAAGGCTCGCGGCTTCTACTTAAAGGAGCGGGTTGGGCGGGCCTTTACCACGATTACCAATAGCAAGTCAAGCTTCCAGCCACGTGCCTGGAATATGGCCCAAGGATTGGCCGTGCTCGCTGAGTCCTCCAAAATATAGAGTGGTTACAAGCCAACCATAGAGATGGGAGGCAGAGAAAGACAGAGTCACGGAGTGTCCTAATTCTTCCGGGTTTCTTTCCACATCTCGGTCGCGGGATTGTAATTTAGCACATCTCTCTACGGCCCATAAAAGAAAACTTTACAAACAACAGGACGCAAGTAATACCTAGTTTGTATGAGATTCTGTGCCAGGAACTAGGCTAAGAGCTGAGGATACAAAAGTGACAAACTAACCTTGCCTCTGAATTCAGAGTAAACTCTTCCGGTAGAAAGACCTTGTGTGTGAAATAGAACTGTGTGCAGCCAAATCCTGACCGGGTGATGAATTCACTTTCTGATCTTGAGCACCTAACCTTTCTGAGCCTCAATTTCTGAAAAATTATATAAAAAAGAAAGTTGTAGTGATTAAGTAATGGCAATCGCCTGGCACATTCTGAGTGGTAAACAAGTATTTCTTTTTAAAGGACAGGTGTGATGTGGAAAATTTATTTAATTGCAATACTTTAATAATGCTAAAATAGCAGCCTACCGTGGAGCCCAAAGGAGAGAAGGACGAACTTTGGGAAAGCTGAAAGTGCTACGTATTGAGCCCATACTGTGAGGAGCCAGCACTGTTCGCCAGTGGATAATAGGAATATGACCCTATCCTTTAAGAGCTTGATTTACAGGGAAAAGGAACAGTGAACAGTCAAAATTTCTGGCTATCTTCATTTCCAGTCCAAGTTTTACTTGGGAATTCTTTTCATATTTGCTTTTTTGTGTGTGCGTGCTAAAATTTCTCTTTTAATATTTTCTAGGTCATTTCGTCTTTCTTCAACATTTATCACACAAACTTCATAGAATTCATTTGCTGCTTCTATTTTTTGAAGAGCCTCCTCTTCTAGCTTTTGCTGTGTTTCCAGCTGCTTGTTGAGATTTTTTACTAATCCAGCACTTGCACATTGATGCTTTTCTTATGCACAAAACATGGAAGATTTTGCTTTTTCATACTCATCTTAACGTTGTGTGCACAACAATTTTGCCTTTTTAAGAGCAGTCTCTGTTTCGAGCATTTTATTTTGTTCCTGTTTCCAAAGTTCTCTTCTTTCTTTCCTTTGTTTTTCCATTTCGTTTTTCCTCCCAAGTAGAGGCTGTGCAAATTTGTTGGCTTGGAGAGCTGCAGTGGTTTGTTGTAGAAGGTGGCCACTCTCTAGATCACTAAGAAGAGCATTGGCAAATAGGGAGTGCAGCGGCATAAACTCTTGTAGTCCAAAGTTAGTTCTAGTTGCCTCTGCCAACTTGGTAATATTTCTAGTGGACTCCAATTCAGTTAGATTGTGCTAAAGCCGATCCTTCTGTCTCTGAGGTTACAAGGCTCCTCTCTCGCTATTGTTCGGTTGTTTGTTCCAGGTGATTTCTCCACAATTTAGTTGTAATTCCAGGATGGTCCTGGGAGGAGTCAGTGTGACTTCCATTCACTCCTCTGCCATCTTGATTTTCCATTTTTGCTCTTAATAAGGAATTTTTATTTTTTGTAATGATGAAAATATTTCAACCTTCAGGTTTGTAGTTGAATGGAGCTTTATTTTTATTACTTTTTACATAGTTTTAACATATTTAAAAATTCCTTTCTGATTCAAAATAATAATTATTTTGGCAAGTGTTTTGTAATATCTCTGATTATTTTTATTGCTATTTAAACTTTTGTTATTAATTTTAACATTTATTACATTGTGGCACAGTTTCTATATTGGTAAATATATTAAAGTTTTCTGTGGCCTAAAATATGATCTATATTTTTTATTTCCACAAATTCTTGAAATGAAAATGTTTTCACTATCGTGTGCAAATATTGACATGGAATATTTATTATTAACCCAGCCTTAGCTGTGTTGTAATTATATTGTCCATATCTCTGTATTTTTATACTCACTTGTGATTGTATGCACTGTCATTGACTGCTGATGTACTAAGATTGTGCTTCAAATATCAGATGCTAGTGAGGATGCAAAGCAGTGAGAACTTTGCTCCATTACTATTTGGGAACACAAAACAGTACAACCATTTAGGAAAAGAAGTCAGAGAAACTTTCTTACATACATATCCCTAGCTATCCTTAGGTTTTTGTCCAAGAGAAATGAAAATTTATGTTCACCCAAAATCCGGTCCATGTATGTTTATAACAGCATTATTCATAATTCCTCCCAAACTGAAACAACCCAAAAGCCCTTTACTGGGTGAATGTATGGTAAGCAATTGTGGTACATCCACACAATTGAATGCTACTCAACAATAACAGAATGAACTACTGATACATGCAACACTGGAAAGAATCTCAAAGGCATTATGCTGAGTGAAAGGAGCCAGACTCAAGATGTTTCCATTTATATAGCATTCTAGAAAAGACAAATCTATAACGATGGAGAACAGATCAAAGAGTTTCCAGGGATTGGTGGCGTGAGGGTTATCTGACCACAAAAATACAGTATGAAGGCATTTTGGAAGGTTCTGTATCTTGAATGTGGTGGTGGTTACAGGACTTTTGTCAAAACTCATAGAACTGTTCACCCAAAAGATTTAATTTTACTGTGAAATTTAAAAATAAAAAAATAAAATTAGCCATGGCTAGTGTGGCTCAGTATATTGAGCGCTGGTCTGTGAACCAAAGGGTTGCTGGTTTGATTCCCAGTCAAGGCACATGCCTGGGTTGTAGGGCAGGTCCCCAGTTGGGGGTGCGCAAGAAACAACCACACATTGCTGTTTCTCTCCCTTTCTTTCTCCCTCCCTTCTCCTATCTAAAAATAAATAAATAACATTTAATAAAATAAAATTATGCGTCAGTCATTTTCCTTGTCTATTTTTACTACTTGCTTTGTGTATTTTGAGGCTTTGCTGTTTATCTCATTATGGTTTGTGGCTGATAATATGTCCATTGTGGATTACATATATTTATGTATAAAATAACACAGTAAGCTATTACAGTTTTTGCCTTGAGTTCTAATTTATCTTACATTGTATTAGCATTGCTACTTGTGTGTGTGTGTGTGTGTGTTTGTCTATGTCTGATACGACTTTGTTCATCCCCTTATTTTAACCTTTCTGTGTTATTTTGGGTAATACAGTCCTTTGTGTTAGGCATATGGCTGGCTTATAGTGTTTAGCCGAATGTGATAATATTTGCCTTTTAAAAATTTATTTTAAAATTTTACTATGAATTATCTCTGCATACAAGACTACATATAAAGTATATGTGTGGTTTGGAGACAATTAATTGAATATTCATACACTCACCACTTAGTTTAAGAAAAACAACATCATCAATAACTTTGAAGCTAACTTCTCACTCCGGATTCTGTCTCCCTCACTCAGGGAAAACCACTATCTTGAATTTTTAGTTTGTCTTGTTTTGCTTTTCTTTTTAGATTTTCCTTCATATATTCATATATTTAGTTTTGTTTGATTTTGAGCTTTATAGAAATACAATGTATTGTATAATATTCTTCCGTGACCTGTCCTTTTTATTGTTAATATTGGTGACATTCATGTTATTGTATGTAATGCAACCAGTAATTGTTGTAATGCAACCAGGTTCACTGCTATGTAGCATTTCAGTACACAATTATTCTGCGTTTTACGCAGCTCTTTGTATTAGATGTTTAAAATAGCTTCCAGTTTTTACTATTACAAAGCTGCTTTGAATATTCTTGCATGTGTACAAGTATCTGTGGGGTATGAACATAGAAGCACAATTGCTGTGTAGGGTAGGCACATTTCCAACTTTCTAGATACTAGCAAATTATTTTCCAAAATGGATGCTCTAATTTGCACTCCCATATTGGCCTATACCCTCACCGACTGCTGATATTGTCAGACTTTACATGTTTGCCACTATGGTGTGTATAATGTGGTATTAGCCATAGGCCAGGGGTAGTCCAGATATTGCCGATTTGGTGCCCTTAGAAATGGTGATCCACTGATTCCGTCAGGGTCTATTGATTTAAGTGCTGGGAACCCAACTCAAACTAGCTCAGTGTGTAGGGGGTTTGGTTAAATAGGAGGAAAAGAGGTGAGCTGCCTGGTCTCGTGCCATTTAGAATCAGAGCTCAAGCCTGCCCAGGGCTCCCTGACTGCATCCATGCTTCTGTCTGTCATCTTCCTTCTTTGGAATTGGCTTTCTTTACAGGATGGAGGCAGCTGCTGGGCCTCACACGTGACTTCGCTGCTAGAAAGGGAACGCGTCTCTTTTCATGGTTCTAGTCGGAGTCAGATTGGGTATGAGCCTACCCATGGGTCGAGTAAAGGTGGCCAGGTGGGTAGCTGTTTTGTGGCTTCCCGTTACTGCATAACAAACCACTCTAACTCAGAGATTTAAAACAACAGCCATTTTATTATCTCTCCCAGGATGAACTGTGAGTTAACTGGATGCAGCTGAGAGGTTCTTCGGCTGTGTATCAGCTGAGGTCACTTAGAGGCTTGACTGGGCTAGAACATTCAAGATGGCTCAACCAG